CTATTTGGGACACCTGGGATTACCATCCTACCCCTGACCCGCAGTAGGTCCGAAATTTAAGAGGGGGAAAAGTTTGTACTTTCCCCAAATTTCAAACAAGCGTGTCCCATCTTCTATTCAAAAAAGCAAAAAACAAGCGCGTCCCAGACCGAAACATGGTTCCCCCCATCCGTCTGATTCCCCATTCGTACTCCGTGGGCGCCAAAACTACCTCTCCACCAGCCGCGAAACCACGACATCCTCCGTCCGCCACCCCATCCCACCCATCAACCGCCGCCCTCCTCCATCACGCCGGAGCCGATACCCCGACGGCGTCGTCCACCGCAATCTCAACCACAACGCCCTCCACGGCTAGTAGTTGAAGCCGAGGCCGAGCCGTCCGTACCCGAGCTAGTTCAACCACGCCGTCCTGCGTCTCACCGCTGCCGCTCCAACTTCGCCACCCTCCACCGCACCGGAGCTGTTCCTGCTACGCCGTCCTTCGCTGCCTCGGATCTACTTCCCCTCCGTCGACATACGGCCACGACAACACAGTCAACAATTTGGCCATGGGTTCGTCCAAGCCTGCACCCTCCAGAACATCGGTTTCCTCGGTAAAAAGAAGAAGATCGGCGTGACATGTGGAGGTGACCACACCGGCAACCGAAAAAGGTACTCCTCCTCCCTTATTCGTGCAAATCTTACGTCTCTGCTTGCACGATATTCATCCCACAGAAGACACTAGTTGACCGCTTCTTCTTGATACTAGATGTTCCTAGTAACTCGCGATGCACAAGGTTTCTCCTCATATACTATTTCACCTTAGCTAGAGGTCCGTCGCCCCCCTGAATTTCAATTTCTGGCCAGTTGATTCCCAATTAATGGGAGCATTCCCTGGCGTAACAGGCGCTAGTACGCGTATTACACCGAGGAAGCAGCGCCTTGGTGTTTATCTTAGGGGCGTGTGCGGCCTAGAGCTACTGGCGCCCGATCTGGAGGTCGGCCGGGATTAAAGGGATGGCCTGGGGGCGCTGCCAAGCATGGCGGTGGTGTGAGGTCGATGGGAGGGCGGGGCGGCGGAGGCAGGGGTCTGGGCCGGTGGTCGCTGGCAGTTCGAGAAAGATCGTCAACAGTGACTGGCGGGAGGTAGACGAAGGCCATCTGCCCGTTCCTTATAGATCGGATGGTTCATTAAAAAAATTGACTGACCTATTTATTTTCAGTCGACTGTTATCTTAGATATGACCACATGTGGTGGTGTGCTGGAGGAGTACCTGCATTTCCTATGCTCATATATTACAAAATCATACGGAGTAGAATCTAATTTTGTTTGCCATGCAATGTTGTAGAGCTATCATATGTCTCCGGTCATTTATTTTTCAGCCACCTTCTATCTGCTACTTTTACAGTGCACTAGTTCTGCACACACTTCACCCTTACTCTCACTATTGTGTTTTTATGCAAGGGTATTTCAGACTCTGCTGCCATGAGAGAAGCCAAAAAGAAAAGAGAGAAGTCTCTCCAGCTTCGTATGCGGGTAGGCAAGACACGTTACAACTCTATAAAGGGTGCAGTGTCAGCAGATGGAGACGGTAAACGTAGCTCTAGAGTTGATGACCTCGCTCGCAATGAACCACCATCCCAGGTGCTTGCTTTAACTTCGCGGTGTCATATGTGGTTGCATGTTCCATATGGTGTCTAGCTTGTATTTGAAAGGCCGAAGTCGGTAAGATAAGGAAAGATATTTTTTTACATGAACCACCATCCCGTGAGCACCAGAAGACAAATAGCTAGTCAGGGCACTGGCTGAGCCAGTGACAAGCCCAGTAAAGATAGACATCACCTGAAAACCAACTAAAAAGTTGCGATGGTGGCGAAGCAGCCCGCCTCCCACCAGGCTCTCAGGTCCTAGATGATCATGCTCACCACTCCAGCCGGATGTCTAGCTTGTATTGCTTCCAATTTGGTTAAATTGCATCTTCTTAGCTTACACATTATACCTTTGAATATGACATGACTTTCTGTTTTTGGTACATAATAGTACATCTGTGTATTAACCATGTTCTTACATCAAACTAATGTTCTTGTGTATCCCTCATCAATCACTTATGACGAGGCAGGCGGGCAAGGGGACTACTCCTCATTTAAAGAATGCAGGGTCAGCCTCCCGACATGATTCTCAAGAAACAGAAATGCTAGATGAAGATAGTGAACGTAGCTCTGTAGTTGATTACAGCATTTCCCCTACACTAGCATCGCAGGTGCTTACTCCAACTTGGCAGCGTGATATGTGGTTGCATGTTGCATATGGTGTCTAGATTGTAATTCTTCCAATCTGGTTAAACTGCATGTGCTAGTCTGCTTAGCTTATACATTATACCTGTTAATGTGACATGCCTTCCTGTATTTAGTGCATAGTACATATGTCTATTAAGCATGTCCTTACATAAAACTATTGTCTTTTTGTATCCCGCATCAATCAACATGACGAGACACCTTTAGTATATGCAGTGCGATATTAGTTGCATCTTTCATATGATTTATAGCATGCGCTGCTTCTAATTTGTTGAAATTCCATTTATGATGGGATGCTTTTAACTTGGCAGAGTCATATTGGTTGCATCTTTCATGTGGTGTCTAGTTTGCATTGCTTCTTATTTGCTGGAATGGTTTCTGCTTAGTTTACACAAACAGTTGTGAACATGCCATGCCGTCCTGTTTTTCGTACATATTCCATCCTGGTATCATGTATTTGCCTAACATCAAAGTAGTGATTGTCAGTATCATGCATGAATGAGTTCTGAAGAGAGAATTTTATTGTTTTTTCTTGTCGGTTTTACTTGACAATTCAAAATCAATAAAGCGGAAGGAAGTTAGCAAGGCAGCAGATAAAGGTGCTCCTTCCGAACGGAGGGCCTCTACAGTTTCTATTCCTCCATACCCCCAAGATGATTTCCAAGACAACACATGCATAGAGACTCAACAAAGCTGTGTTTATGATGAGCATGTCTCCCCTAGTGCAGCATCACCGGTGCTCCCTCTAACTTGGCACTGTTATATGTGGTTGCATGTTATGTGTGATGTCTAGCTTGTATTGCTTCTAATTTTGTTGAATTCCATCTGCTTACTTTACACATTATACTTGAGTAAGACACGTGTTCTGTTTCTAGAACATACAATATCTGTCTATCACACCATGTTCTTATATCAAATTACTACTGTTGTGTAACCTGCAATAATCACTTATCATAAGACACGTTTGACTTCGGAGTGTGATATAGGTTACATCTCACATTCTTTTCTAGCTTATACTACTAATTTGTTGAAATGACACTTATGACGAGACAGTTTTAACTTGGTAGAGTGATATTCGTTGCATGTTTCATATGGTGTCTAGTTTTCATTGCTTCTAATTTGTTGAAATGTCTTCTCACTACAAGAAATATGTCAACTTATGACCCTCACTATTGGTCTCTGAAAGGTCATAGTTTTTCATTTGCGACCTTTTTGTACCAAAAACAGAAGGTCAAAAGCTGGCGGTCATAAACTGAAATTAACGACCTTCTTTGTGAGAAGGTCGTAGATGTTTTTGACCAAAATAAAAGGTCGTTGAACCCATGACCTTTTGTTTTGGTCACTGGATGTCTGCCCAGGCCACGCCAGATCCAACGTGGCAATCTGACGTGGCAAAATTGCGACCAATTGAAAAGGTCACTGACAAGATTCAGCCCGGTCCGATTAGGTGTTTTACATGGGCCGAGCCCAACAATTCAGCCTATTTGTTGTTTTTTTCCTATGCTTTGATTAGCTACATGGGCCTGGCCCAACAATTTGGCTTTCATGAGCTTCTTCCATTTTTTTGGGCCTCATCCTTTTTGCAATCTATTCCCTTTTTTATTTTCTGAGATTTTATTTTGTTTCATTTCTTAAACGGTCCAGTGCTTTTTGGGCTGTGGCCTTCTTCAGCCCAATTAATTGTCCGGCATTAGATCTCAGCCTTTTGGACCAGCCTCTAGCCCAGTTACACACACACATACATCCAACATTATTTCATATTCAAATCAAGAAAACTCCATATCAAATTCAAATCATCCATCGCATCACATCAAGTTTACATAACAAATCATCTCAGGAATACATTTCCTTACACAGGAATATAGAAGGAGCAGAGGGAATATGCAATAAGACAACTATGGCACATCCTACAACTTGCCATCCTACAACAAGAATTATATAACAGGAAGAACTTGCTCTCTCTCTCGTGAGACTTGCTCCAGCTGTGACAACTTGCCATCCTACAACAAGAAGTATATAACAATGAACTTCAAGAACATTACAGGAGCTAAACGCCCAATCAACGTGAAGTGCTCAAAAATGCCTTAGCTAGCATGCATTCAAAATTTAGACACTTGACATAGCCTCATCAAGCATGCAATAAATTATACTCCCTCCATAAACTCATATAAGAGCGTTTAGAATACTAAAATAGTGATCTAAACGCTCTTATATTAGTTTACAGAGGGAGTAGAAAGTAAACGAGGACCAGACTTTACAATTACAGACACATCCATCAATCCATGAGGCAAAATCATGTGAATCCAAAAGGAGAGGCAGGAAGGGATACCAATTTTGATCCAGAGGGTACATGAGTGTGGCCTTCTTCCGGAAGAGGTTGGCCCTAACGCACCTTGTATGAGAGGCGCTGGGAGCTCATAGATTGTCCTGGTCAATGAGCAGGTCCTCGCATCCGGTCATACTGCTAGCCTGGGTAAGAGGAAAAATGAAAGGAACAATTTAGACTTGGTATTAACGAACAAAGACTGTAATCAATAGCAGATTAAGCACCAATTTTCTTGGATGCAAGGAGAAGAACGAGCAAAATAGCACAGAGATGTGGGACAATGCTGTACCTGTAGATGATGTTCGCAGCCAAGGAAGACATGGGGCCAGCCTTGCATGTGCGCGTGCTTCACCGGTGCATGCATCACCATAGCAGCCAAGCAAGTAGACATCATCGACATCTACTCACCTCTTTCCTGGCAATGGAGAAAGAGTCAAACAAAAAAGTATTAGACCATGATATGACACCAGACCATAGATTAGTAGCTTTAAATCACAAAGTATATCCACAACACCATAAAATAGTTCCAAACCCGTGTTATTTGAGGATATCGCATGTAGTTTATTTTCATGAGTCCAGAAACATGGAAGGGTTCAATACAGTCCTAATATACATTCATATTACAGTAGCTTGATAAGTCCAGAAATATGTTGTATATGCACAATAAGTCCAGAAACCCCAGTGCTATTTATTTATTGGTTTTACTGAATCACACACATTACTGCCCTTATTTGAAATCTCTCGCATGAATCTAGGTGCAGGGTAGATGCCTTTTTTATATGTTCTACATTACTACCCCAAGAAACATTGGCTTTGAACGCTTGTGCCAACTCGTTTATCAACAGACATATTCTAGCAGAGAGGCACTCTGATTTGCCTGTGTGGATCTAGACAATTCCCCTCGCTCTACGAGAAGCTACCGAATAAACAGTTTCACACATCTGTTGATTGGTTTTGATACTCATAACAAAAGGATGCAGCATATAAACAGCAACCACAACACAACTACAACGCGGCTCAAATTTCAAAGTTGTTGTGATGTGCCTGTAGCATGCTGCCTAAGCAACGGCAATGCATAGTGGTACAGCCGAGAGATCAGTAGCATCAACACGTTTAGCCCTACTTGGATCACACGCCCACGTACAAACCCCAGAGACAATTCAACTAAACTGGCCAGGTTCGAGCAGAGCACAAAGGCAAAGACAAAGTATATATCAGTGCCTACAATCTTCAGTTCAGTACACATCTCTTTAGAACAGAGTAATATTCAAAATTCATATATCAGTATGTATTCAGAATTGAACCACCAACGACACCTTTACTAAATCTCTTTAGTAGAGAGTAAACGCCAGCAAACTAATTTCATCTCGAAGGTTAGTTTTGCAACAGCAACAAGCATTAAACAAGCTACTCTTGTTACTATAGTGCAGTTCAGTACTATAGTTCAGTACCATATGCCTACAATCAGACACAAGCTTCAGTACAGTCAAAGTATAATTACAAATAGGATTAAGAATCAAAGTTGTTACTCATTGGATCGTGGCACAGAGCGTTCAGTAAAGAGTATAACACAAGCTACACTTATAAACACAAGCTTCAGTTCAGTGCAGAAATAAACGAGCCTCAGATTGTGAGCAGCAGTGTTAGATTGTTTACCTTCAGAGTTCTTCTTCTCCCACCTCCACATCCTTCACAAAGCCACCCTCCACCTGACCAAATCAAGCTTTCAGTTCAACAATCAACACCATTCACCTCATCATCCTCACTATTTCTGCCCAGACACAGTCACATGAACAACATTCAGCTACACAAAAAGGAGATAAATCGATCCGGGACGAACAAGGTACTAGGATACATTACCTCATGCCGTCCACGGGGACGCACTTGTAGTGGCACGTGCCTTGTCAAATGGGATGAGCCCCCCAATGAACTCCGAGACGACGTCCTCACCGGCGTTGGCCTTGGCGGCCACCATCCAAGTCGCGCACGCCCTCGCCATCAGGAGCGGCGAGCTCATGGGCCTCCTCTGCCAGCGCGCCCTGGTCGGACTCGTCGCCGCGCTCGTCGTCCTGGTTAATTGCATGCACACAATGACCACCACTATCACAATATGATGTTTATATAATATCTTAAGTGATCTTAAATAGCTAGCAACAAAGTCTACTGCAACATCTCAGTCAATTAAATCACATATGATTGTGGGACTTTGATTAACCAAGACAAAATAATGCTCATTTAACAAAATATCAACACCAAGCACTCATTCAACTGCACCAAATTAACAGTGCCATAATCTGTATGGTTAATGTTCAAACACACATGCAAAATCATATTGTCAAATGCATGCACATATACCACTAATATCTTTGCAGCAACATTTGCCTGCCATTTTACACATTAAATTAGATTAAGCATGTGAAGCAGTTAGACATGCATCTCCATTTTCACGACACTGAGAATGGTAGAAGAAAACAAAATTGACCAGGTTACAGACAGGCAGCAAAGTAAGCAAGCGAGCAAGCAAAACCCTACAACTCACTGTTGCAGATGCCGTCATCCTTCTTGCAGGTGTAGCGGCCGGCCTCGGGCATCATCGCGGCCAGGAGGAACCCGCCGCCAGAGCAGACAAGGGGTGTGGGGCAGGAAGCGCTCCAGCTCCAAGGCGGCCACGTGCAGGGCGGGGGCTCCTCCAATGGAGCGCGCGGGGCGACGGAGCCGTGCGCGCCTGGACTCCATGTCTGAAGGAGCATGGAACACGGTGTCAACATTCCCCTTCTACCTCTCACTGCCAATTGGTGCCTGCCAAATAAATTCAAATCCTTGAGTTGACAGTTACCCATGTTGCTCGGTTTCTTGGTTCAAACAAGCTAAGGTAAAACCATCTGAACTATGTAAGCCTGAATTATGTAAGCTCAACCTTTAACAGATACATCTCCCAGACTAACCAAGGATTTGAGTTCTTATTTCAGCCAGATTATCTAACCAAGGTAGCTGCAGTGGTTCAGTTTAATCTTGAACCAGTTAACAGTTTCAATGTAGTTAGTCTTTCAGTAAGTAGAAGCTAGTGAAGTACAGCAATGAGCAATCACCTCCATGGCTACCAGATTCCATAATACTAGTTGCTTTACGGAGGTGCTGGTGTAGCTAATCTCTGGTGGAAGCATTACACCTCAAAGGATACTTCAGCAAACAGAGACCACACTTTACATTTGAATCCGCGGGAATTTTAACACATATACAGGTACTCATATTTGACATAGTTTATTATCTTTAGATGAAAAACCCTTTTCCTCGATGTTTATGTACAAGGATAGCACAATTCTAGTAGACTTACTGAGATAATCATCGCTAGATATGGAATTACTTTGATCGATCTGCTTGTTCAAGGCGGGGCAGTTGAGGAAAGCCGTCATCTCCAGCATGCACGGCTTAACATCGCCGCCAAACTTCTTTGAGTTTATGTACAGCCCAGCTTTCCGACCAATCCTGCTATATCACTTACAAGTGTGAATTTTTATGCAGTAGCAAAGGCTGACTACTCAGTGACCACTCACAATCAGTACTCTGTCTATAACAAATGCCTACAGGAGCAACACGATAATGCGTGGGCAAACAAGCAATGCGAGAGAAATGAATCATCTGAACCAAACATCTGGAAAAAAGAGCACGGCATATGGTGATGTTTTACTAGCTAGTGTAGCGTAGGAGCAACAGAGTTCCTCCAACAACCGTGAAGTGCGAAATTTTCTTTCAAAGAAACAGTGTGGCACTGCCTAATCTGGGAGAAACCGAGTTCCTTCAATAACCGTTAACCGCGAAATTCCCCTTTCAAAGAAACAGAGTAGGTATTATATATGCCACGCAAAGATGCACCAAATTTGTTGGCCATCACGGCAGTAGAACAGCGGGCACCACATCATCTAAGGAACAAACACGTCATCAGACGGAAACAGCGGCGTGTGCTCATCTATCCCTGCGCTACCATTTGGTGAAACTTGACTTATGCTGAGACGAATCTAGTAGTCGAACAGTTTGTGTGCGTGCACCCGGAGCAGGGGCGGATCTAGTAGTCAAAAGAAAATCACAACAGATGGATGGTATGTATTTCTGTTACCTTGCCTTGATCTAACCGCCGCTGCAGATTCACCACGCCGGACCGGAGTCAACCTGCGATAATGGGAGGGAAAGGGTTAGGATTTTGAGCAAATTGATAAAATGACACATCTTTCCTGGGAGTTTAATCTAGTGACACACCTTACTTTTTGTTTGATTAGATGACACATCTTTGATTGACAGCTTGATGAAATGGCACAAATAGAGTTTTTATCTCCTTTTTCACGGATGGGCCTGCACTTCATAATTAGTAGGACGGTTCTGCCCTTGCATCGATTCACCTGCCTGACTCAGCTTTGTTCCATCGATCCTACGAAACGACGCAGAGAAGGCCAGACGAGGCGATGCACAGGAAGAGGAAGCGCAGGTGTCATCCCATACTCAAACAACAACGAACAACTAGAGAGCTAGCAAGCAGCAGCGCCGAGTAGTAAGCACGGCGAGGCAGCAGCGTTGGAGAGGAGGCGCCGTATTTCTTTCAATTAACAAATGCTTTGTTTGCATGGAGGATCGCCTAGTTCCATATTACATGTCCATGCATGTACTGATCCAGGTGGGCCTCCCGTGCGTCGTTCTGTTCAACCAAAAAATTAATCGAACTACGCAACGGGTGAATCGATGCGAGGGCAGAACCATCCTAAAAATTATGAAGTGATGCCCCATCAGTGAAAAAGGAGAGACAAACTCTATTTGTGCCATATCATCAAGTTGTCAATCAAAGATGTGTCATCTAGTCAAACAAAAAGTAAGATGTGTCACTGGATCAAACTCCCAGGTAACATGTGTCATTTTATCAATTTGCTCTAGGATTTTTGGCGTTGCTGTTCTAGGGGGTTCAGAGGAGAGAGGCGACACGGAGGAGAGGGAGGAGGGAGGGGATGGGGTGGGGGTGGCGGGAGGGAGCATAGGCTAGTGGGGGAAGATGCGAGCGGGGCGAAGCTTACCTGCGCCGTCGTCTGGTCGCCGAGGTTTCTCCGCCGCCGTGCCGCTCTCCCGCACCGCACGGGATCATAGTGTGCGGGTCGGCCCGGATTGCCATCGACTGGATCTCGGCCACCGCCGGGGGCGTGAGCGCGAGCAGGGCGAGGGCGAGTGCGGCAAGGAGCGCCGCGGCGTGCGGCGGTGCGGTGGCGGCCATCGAGGTGGTTAGTGCGATCTTGGTGGAGGGGACGGGGAGAGGGCGGAGACGGTGAGATTTGGGATTTGGTGGGCACGCGGTCGCGTGATTTGTCGGTAAAGGCAGGCGACGGGCTGAGGGTCGGCCAAGGTGAGGGGCGGCGGCTAGGGTTACGGCGAGCGGGTGCGGGTGCGGGATTGGAATGGTGGTGAGTGGGTGCGTGGGGATTGCGGGTACGATGGGGAGTGGGGGCGTGGGTGAGAGGGTGAGGGGTGAGGGCTGCCGTTGGGTTCGGGAGCATCCGACGGTGTCTGAGGCATGATCCGCGTGATATGCTTCTGGACCAATCAAAATGCGGCAAGAAATTTGAAGACTTTATGACCATTTAAATTGGTCTTAATCAATTAAAGATAAGTTATTTCATGAATTCATTTTTTATTTTTTGAGTGCTCAAAATGAATTTTATTGTAAAGGATCAACCAAATATTTGTTCAAATAATCTTATATTGTGTATAAGGATGCATCTTCGAATGACAAACAATGTTGCCTAAGAGAGTTTTCATTTTCTTTGGACGAAAAATCGATTTTCCATTTTTTGAGTGCCCAAAATGATTTTTTTGTGAAGGACCTACCATATATTTGTTGCAAAACTGTACCAAATTAATTTTCTAAAATACTAGGACATATTTAATGCACAATTGATCAAATGATTGGGTGTCAAAAATTTTGATCCACCTCTCATGAAAAGGACAAATTTCCGCTCATTCAGCAAGAAACGGGTCAAATTTGAACTGCAGCGTCCTCATTGTTTATTATTTATTTTTTCCAAAAATCATTTCTAGGTACAAAAGTATCTATTTAATCAGAGAAACACCAAAAAAGTCCAAGATTCAAGCACTAGCTAGGAACGGTCATTCCCGCCGTTTTGACCGCATTTTGAAACGGGCATAAAAAATTCAAAAAAATCAAAAAATTGGAAAACCTTCACATTGTGTCATTATATGTGACCAAGTTACCAGGAAAAATAATAACCTTGTAATACGGCAATTTTTTTAAAAAACTGTTCTCAGAAACGAGCTATCATGTGTGGAGATCAATGGCTTTCAAGCCAAATATTCAATCTTATGGCCACATTCATGGCATAGTTGGTTCAAATGATCTCATATTATGCACAAGGGTGCATATTGGAATGGCAAACAATATTGCCTAAGGAAGTTTTCATTTTCTTTGGACGAAAAAACCATTTTTCATTTTTCGAGTGCCCAAAAGGAGGTTTTTTTGTGAAGAATCTATCAAATAATTGTTGCAAAATTGTACCAAATTATTTTTATAAAATACTAGTCCATATTTAATGCACAATTGACCAAATGGTTGGGTGTAAAATATTTTGATCCACCTCTCGTGAAAAAGACAAATTTCCGTCGATTCAGCTGGAAGCGGGTCAAATTTGAACTGTAGCTACCTTGTAGTTTGCTCTTTATTTTTTCCAAAAATCATTTCTAGGTACATAAGTATCTATTTAATCAGAGAAACACCAAAAAAATTCCAATATTCAACCACTAGCTAGGAACGGTCATTCCCGCCGTTTTGACCGCATTTTGAAACGGGCATAAAAAATTCAAAAAAATCAAAAAATTGGGAAACCTTCGCATTGTGTCATTATATGTGGCCAAGTTCCCAGGAAAAATAACAAACTTGTAATACAAAAATTATTTTTAAAAAGTGTTCTCAGAAACGAGCTATCATGTGTGGAGATCAATGGCTTTCAAGCCAAATGATCAATCTTATGTCCACATTCATGGCATAGTTTGTTAAAATGATCTCATATTGTGCACAAGGGTGCATATTGGAACTTCAAACAATATTGCCTAAGGAAGTTTTCATTTTCTTTGGACGAAAAAACCATTTTCTATTTTTCGAGTGCCCAAAAGGAGGGTTTTTTGTGAAGGACCTACCAAATAATTGTTGCAAAATTGGACCAAATCATTTTTCTAAAATACTAGGCCATATTTAATGCACAATTGACCAAATGGTTGGGTGTAAAGAGTTTTGATCCACCTCTCGTGAAAAAGACAAATTTCCGTCGATTTAGTTGGAAGCGGGTCAAATTTGAACTATAGCTGCCTTGTAGTTTGCTCTTTATTTTTTCCAAAAATCATTTCTAGGTACATAAGTATCTATTTAATCAGAGAAACACCAAAAAAATTCCAAGATTCAACCACTAGTTAGGAACAGTCATTCCCGCTGTTTTGACCGCATTTTGAAACGGGCATAAAAAATTTAAAAAAAATCAAAAAATTGGGAAACCTTCGCATTGTGTCATTATATTTGGCCAAGTTCCTAGGAAAAATAAAAAAATTGTAATACGACAATTATTTTAAAAAAAAGTGTTCTCAGAAACGAGCTATCGCGTGTGGAGATCAATGGCTTTCAGCCAAATGATCAATCTTATGGCCACATCCATGGCATAGTTTGTTCAAATGATCTCATATTATGCACAAGGGTTCATATTGGAATGGCAAACAATGTTGCCTAAGGAATTTTTCATTTTCCTTGGACGAAAAAACCATTTTCCATTTTTGAGTGCCCAAAAGAAGGTTTTTTTGTGAA